AACAATTATCATCTTTCTTACCTCACAAGTAATTCATACATCCAGCTATATAAACAATTATCATCTTTCTTACTACACAGTAATTCATACATTCAACTATATAAACAATTCTCATCTTTCTTCCAAACAAACAGTCTTCACTCAGTCTTCTGTAAATGATTGTTCCTCATCTACAGGTAATTCTTACAACTCGAACACTACTGATGTACACTTGGTTCCACGTAAGCTATAACCTGTAATCGTTTTATCGCAAAGCTTTCCCAAAGAAAGTTTCTGTGTAGTAAATTGTGGTTCTTACAATTGCCAGGCCACACCTATTTATCACTTAAGTTGACTATTTTTTGTAAAGAGCATGGTAAAAACCAAAATGAATTAGAACTATCTTTGTTTATTATATACTATCCAAAGTACCTGGTTTTACTCAGATTATTAGTGATATTTTACTGGTTGACTGTGTTTGTGTCTGTATTTTGAACGTATTTTAGATATTTCTATTTTGATTTTTTACACTTTTTTATTTTATTTATGACTGAACTCTTAATGCAGAATCATCAATATTTTTCCACTGTTTTGTTTGCAGCCTTTTCCTAACTTAATTCAATTCAAGGCTTTGACAGCAATAATATTAATTTTAACTTTTACATTCTGTTTCTTCTTATTTTCTCTTTTCCACTAATACAGATGGGAAATAATTTCAACTTTATATTCTAGATTTTTGGCGTAGCCGGCCCTGAGGTCTGCATCACTTCTGATGCCATTTCCTGAGTTTAATAAAATAGAATGTAAAATTTACATATTCAAATTTTATAAAATAAACTTTATTTTCCGAGTGTTCATGTACAATCCAAGGCCAGTAGGTTGAGGATTGTATGAATGAGAGGAAAATTAAAAATGTTAAACTCTCTCATCTTTTCATGTGACAAAATGTTTTAACTGTTTTGTTTGATGTCATTTCTCAAACTCTATTTATTTAAACCTTTTCTAGTATTCTAATGGTCTATTCCATGGGTTCTGGGAGATCCTGTTGCCTTTGACTGGCTAGAAATGTTTGACCCCATATCCTATTGAATTTTGTTCATTTTTGGTAAAATATGTCCATTTTTTTCCACATTTTTTGCCAATTTTGTTCTTTTTCAACAGTAGAAAACCTCCACATATTGTTCATTCAGTAAGTGAGAAATAGTAAAAAATATGATACTTTTCTATAGACCTCAGGAAGCAGAATTATGAGACTTAATGACAAAAAACAGGACAAAATGTTTTGAGTCAAAAAACCATGGTGAATGGATGAAAGTCTAAAGGTAGACCAACAGCTTTAGTGAACAGACAGGAAGAAAGTCAATTAATATGGGAAAGGAAAGGCTATGCTAGGGGAGACACCCTGAGCTGAAGCAAGGGACTGGACAAAAGCCATGCGAGGAGGAGGAGGTTGGGGATGTCGGGATGAATGACATCCAATTCCAGTAGTCCGAGGAGTGACCAGGACAGAGATAGGGCAGGGCTGTTGCTCCAGTAAGGGCCAGAGCAGAGGGAATCTGCCTGAGTTGGCCAATTCAGAGCAAAAAGCAGAGCACAACAAGGAATGGTCTAGATAAGGGAAAAGACTCTGGAGAGAAGTGTGATTGGAGGGTAAGCATATAGGTGAAGACCCCTCAAACTGGACTGAAAGCATCAACTCTCAGAGCCAATGGGTATGGAACCAGAGACAGACCAAAAGGAAGGAACGTTGGTGATCCAGAGAGTAGCAAACACATCTATATGAGGTGTTACCAGGTAAGAAAACACCCACCAAAATACCCATGGAGGAAGAGACCACTTCAAGAGGAGAACCTGGCTAGATCAATATAACTGCTCAGCCACCAGATTCATGACGCTGGGAACATGAAACACTAAGATTGCCATGTTGTGGTCATAAGCCCAGTAAAGAAGAATCAGAGTTGGAAATCACAAAGATCTGGATAAGATTCCCCTTTGCCAGGTGATAAAGCTCACAACAGTGGAATAGATAGAATGAACCATAACCACCCACCTCTTCAGGAGCAGGAGGAAATGATACAGAGCCCAACGAACTGCCAAAAGTTCCAGGAAAAAGTGTCAAAAGTGGAAAGTAGCCACCTCAACAGACCACTGACCAGAAATCTTTTGGGAATAGAGGAAAAACCCCCAACTCACTAATGAAACATCGGGAAACAGGTGAGACTAGACGAGGTGGAGGAATTGGAACCCCCACCATGGTCAGTACCCCTTCAAGCCACCAAGCAAGGTCAGTACTGAACCCATAGGGGAGGGGAAAGGAATGGTCCAAGGGATTGTGGGAGGAGGTCCATTGGTTGAGAAGTGTCCACTGAAGGGAACATATATGAGTTTGACTCAAGGGAATGAGAGCTTCCAAGGAAGTCCACATCTCCAAAAGTGATAGAACACCTCATACAGTGAGAAAAGGAGAAGGTATGGTTATTAAGACTACTCCCTCCATATCCCTGAGCCAAAGTAGAGAAGGCTGGGTCCAATGAGGGTGGGAATTGAAGAAAAAACACCAATCGAACAAGATATTGGGTGGGGGTAAAAATGGTTATCTCCAACTTGAACAGAAAAACTCCACCCGATTAGCTTCCCAAAGAAGTAAGCAGGCATGATAGACCAACTTTGTACAGGAAGAAGCAAGCAGGAGCCAATTGTCTATGAAAAAGACAGCCCAAAGACCCAATAAGTGAATACGACAGGCAAATGAGCTTACCACTCGACAAAACACACAGAGCCAAAAATTAAGGACCAAATGGCACCATCTGGAACTGAAAGACATGACCCTTGTGGATGAACCAAAGAAAACAATGAGACACTGGAGCAGTAGGAATATGAAGAAAAGCATCCATCATGACAAGTTGGTCAACCAGAGTCCTGGAGGAAATCCCTAAAGAGAGAGGTAGGACTTCATGGTGAAGGGAGGTGGCATCCAGATGAGAGTTCAACTGGTACAGGTCTAAGACGGGTCTCCAATCTCCTGGCTTATGAGGGACAACAATTTGACAGGAGTAAAACCTCTGTTGAGTGGATACCAACCATTCAACAGCCCCTGTGTGTCGTAGGGGTGGAACATACAAGACATGATGATTGGGAGAAGTACAATCCCAAGGAGGAGGGAAGGAGAAAAGGTAAATGGATGGGGGGAGGGGGGAGCAGAACTGAAGGCAGAATCCTTCAGACAGAAATAGAACCCACAGAATGGTTATGAAGTGTAGAGAAAAAGACACATAAAGGAAGTAAACATACTGGGAGAAAGTATACATTACTAATGAACTAACAAAACCTAGAAATTGGTAGAATCTACCAAGTACAGAATAATAATGAAATTGCAAAATCATGAAATTTGACCTAAAACAAAAAATAATAAGCAATGCCTAAAGGAGCTTACTAAATAAAGACACTAAAATATTGAACTTAGAAGTCCATTTAAAGAACCGTTTAGACAAAGGAAAACCTATCCTGAATAACATAAGGAGGAAAAGGCACCCTGTTAACAATGTATTTTTTTTTGGACTAGTAGTAAAGACAAAAAGAAACTTATAACAAATGTAGCAGATGTTACAATTACCTAAAGAGTAACCAATGTGCAAAACCTGCACTTATATTGAAAAACTAAAGAAAAACAAGGAATAATCAAACTCCAATCATAAAGGTAAACTAAAGTAACGTAGATGGTAAAAGAATTATAAAAAATCTAACTCACCAAATACTGATCCAAGAAAACTTGAAAGACCTAAATTATCATGCGAGAAAAATAGGGCTAACTGTGCAAGCTCACATAAACAGCAAAACATTGGAATGCCTACTGGGAGTGAGTAAGACACTTTGAAAATCTTAATACAGATCTCCTGAGAAAAAGAACAATACCTAACCAAGGAGATTACACGGAGGCACGGTAACAAGTGGAAGATGCTGTATAAAGAATTTTCCACTCAGTAGGTATAACCTTTTTTCAGAAAAAAAAATCGTGAATGGAAGAAATCATCAGCTGAATGAAAAACAAAAACTCCCCGTGAACTACAGCCTGTAAAAACAAGAACTCCCCGTGAACTACAGCCTGGACTTTCCCAGCAGACATTGTCGACTCCAAGACATAGAGATGTGTGCAGAACCACTATCTACATTTGGTGGGAAATTCAACAACTGCCATATTAAATACTGAAGCCTATATGAATAAAGTAGAAAATTGAAAAACAGAAGTATTTCTGAAACAATGGAAGTTGAAACTTGAAGTAGAAACTGATAGAAATGTGTGATCAAGCACAATCAAATGTCTGTAGTCACATGGAAAGTGAGTGAAAACACATGTCTGGACACTGGAATGCCAATCAAGTAAGTGAGGTTTGTTCTAGAATAGTAGAGGGAGCTAGCTGCACCAGTATAGATGGCACAACATGATTGTTGGAGAATGATCACATGATCAGTACATCTTCAAAAGGAAAATGGTATAAATTGATGGGTATAACAGACAGGTGCACCTTTAGTACGAACTTTTAGCAATGCTAATAAGGCAGACCAGGATCAAGATAGCTCTGGGTGAGAAGAGGTAAGACCATTTTGGAATGACATCTCTGTCTTTTTTAAAGACTTGTGCAACTCATTATGAATGAAAAATCTGCCAGTTATGCCTCAAGATTTTCTTGTTTCATTTTCATTTTGCAATTAATGTATTTCAATTAATTTTTTTGCATAACATTATTTTAGTTGTTTCCATTCAATTAGTTTGACATACTGTATTTAAAATGACTAATGTTCTATACTAGGTTACATATGAAGTGCTAAACAACTTGTAACCTATTCTTTAGATATATATCCAGCAGCAGGGTTGTACATTTCACCAAAACTTTACAACTGCTTGCTATTCATAGTTTTGTATCAAGCTAATATGATTGCCCTAGAAGTCATAACAGATGATTAACATTTCAGTGCAACAGTAAATAGGTATTAAAAACAGACTTAGTTAAAAATTAATCATGTATAGTCAATTAGTAATAAATAAAGTCCAATATGTATGTTAATTTTAAAACTACAAGTATAGGGAAGGTAATATTTTATAAGAAAATTGAAGAACAAATTAATTATTCAAATGTTGAACTAGATACATAACACCATTATTTACTTTCTTTGTAAATTGTTTGCACAGAGTAAAATTATGTAATTGTACTCAACTCATGGAATTGCATGCCAAACACAAGATTTTGCTGGAAAATGTGGTCACTTGCAATTGCAAAATTCTCAGATGACTGATTTCAGTATCATCTTATATCTTCAGTATTAATTTAATAAAAAATAATTGTTATTCTAGAACTCCTATCTATTAAATTTTTATGCTTAAAATTTTCCATGTGATATGTTATATAACTATAAACTATATTTTATATTACAAAAATAAAAATAATAAATTAAGTTAATTTTATAAATAATTAAAAAAACGAGGCAAATACAAGATTTGTTAGCTTTAGTTTTGATGTTAAGCACATAACTACGCAATGGGCTATCTGTGCTGTGCCCACCACAGTAATGAAACCCAATTTGTAGTACTAAAAGCCTTCAGACTTACCAATTAGCAAATATAAGAAGTGCAAGTTGTGTTTCTGAAACACCTATGTCCCCATTTTGACTTTGAAAAGTTAATTAGGACTAGAACTTTGTATGATATACATCTTGTACAAGTTTAGCAACATGATTAGGCTACAAGATTAGGATGGATGGATAGTGGCATAAAAAAAATCTCATATTGTGTTTATTATATAAGTTTAAAGCTATAAGTATTTCAATCTATAATACAATTTTTTTTAATCAACTATAATCTCATATTGTGTTTATTATATAAGTTTAAAGCTATAAGTATTTCAATCTATAATACAATTTTTTTTTTTATCAACTATAATCTCATATTCATATAAGTTTTTCTTTTTGTGGGTTGAAAATGAACACCCTCCTTAAAAAGAGCAGGTTAATATTCATAATCTTTATTTGCCAAAAGAAAATACAGAATTTTGAATAGCTTATCCATCTGTCAGAATATACTAGATGTGGATCAATAACATTAACAATATCTAACACCATTAAGTCATTATCTATTTACATGGCCAAGACTCTATGGCTGTCATCATGCGCAGCTTAAACATGACCTATAGTACAGACGTTGTTTGATTTATTGATTTCTCAGCACGCATGTCTTTTAATGTGTTCTTCCTACACTTCCACTTATATCAACTTCTTGTTTAAAAGCCTATGATTTTTTTTTTATATACATATAAAATTGTTAATTAAAATATTTGTTGGTAATTAAAGAATATTTTTCACTGCTATATTTTTAGTACTTCTTATAAAACTCAAATTTCTATAAAGACTGATGTAAATTCAAATTTCTACCTTATGAATCATTTTAATTTCTACAGAGGTCATCATTATAAGTTTTTTTTGCAATAGGAAACAGTATTGTCTTTGTTTTTTAAGATTCAAATGAAGTTATTTTCAGTGAATTACATATTAATTATCACACACTATGGGAAGTATTAGTTCATTTAGTAATAAGTATTCTATATGCCCTTAACAATTCTATACTCTTTTCTCATCTTTATTGAATAATGCTTGATCATGCAGAACTGCTCAGTATGTTGATGAAATGTTTTTAAAATGCATGTATAAGTGTAATATCAAATTAAACCTGAAAATGTTATGTTTAATAATTTATTAATAATCAAGGTCAACATACATTGTTTATTTTCATTAACAAAAATTCTGTAGTTTTAATAAGTAGTCTTGTGAAAATTTGTAGGGAGAAATCTAAAGAGCAGTACTGATTGTATTTTCAACATATTACAGGTTTCACGTAATGTTGTGGATTTAAAGAGTCGCATTAAATTAAAGGTCTTAAATAATGTCTTTAAGAAAAAATTAAAGTTTGAAATAGGAATGTTGGGGGGTAAATATAACCAATTAATAAGTCACACAATTAATTGATTAGAAAGTTGCACTAGTCACTCTGCTCTATCAACATACAAACTTAACACCTTTGATAAACGGTGTACGAGTACTTCCGATAATTTAATGCAAATCTGAGAATTTCTTAAGTAATGTCAATTTTCTGTAGCAGTTTTCATTATACAAAATATTTCCATTGTGCACAATACCAAATGCAAGTTTTTGGAACAGCAAATAAAGTTTATAAGTTAACTATCAATTCACAATGTTACATTTTCTTATAAAATCTTTCATTCAAACTATAATACACCATACTGAATACTTAACAGATAACTGGCCTCATATACTGCCAATTTTCGTTTTTTTACTGTGAACATAGTAATAAAAATACCTCGTTTAATAACATCTTACTGGTTTATCTGAACACACTGAGTTTGTAGCATTGTAAAGATGGTTAACGTGGGCTAATATAAACTTCCTCGGGAACATTTATGGCACAACCAGATACAGAATATAGGTTTTTTCATGTAGTAGTGACACCTTTCAGTAATGAGGAAAAATAGACAAATGAAATAAGACAGTCGGCCCTACATAGTTATCTTTTATGACCCACTTAGCAAACTTTTAATAAAATTTCATCACTTTTTAAATAACGTCTACAAAATTAATTACAAACACTTATATACTGCCTACCTGTGTATCTACCTGCTAGAGATAGAACAGCCATCTCACTACCTGGGACTTGAGACCCATACTGATAAGCAAGCTCTGCCCCAGCTGCTACCTTTGATGTAACTGACTGAAGATAATGAAGAACAGCTATCCCTGAGCCATTGACAACATCAATGTTGCCCAAGGTAAGTGATGCTGTATAATCATGACCTTTGAAATCAGCTGATAGCTGTGATGCCAAATAGCGTGAATCTTGTATCTGGGAGAACAAAAATTAAGTGGTTGATAACTTTTGCAAAATACAAGAAAATCTTCATATCTTTATTAAATTTTTTGTAACGGGTGTAATATTAAATAACTTAACATTTTAGGAAACTATTTTGTAGTAAATATGAACAATATTATGTTTGAGTTCATTAACTACCTTAATCCTTCTCCAAAATATATATCACTATATATTCTGCCTTCTTAGTAAACACTTAAACAGTTAAAAGAATGTACCAACAGATTATTTTCTTCCAGAATAATATAGCTGTATTGACCTTTTCTGTTATTGTAGACTTGTTTATTGTTAACATAAACACTTAAAACTTGAAATACTGGCTTGTTGAAACTAAGCCTTGCATTGTTTATGATCGAGAATCAACACTGTAATTGTTGATTGGAAACAGATGTAGGTTTACAGTCCAAAATGGCATGAAATATTCTGATTAATTAAGATTTAGAAAAAATCATATAATTGTACATTTGCTGTCATAAATACTTGAAATAATTTTAACATTTGTATAATAACTTTAACCCATACAACTTTTTTAATTTTTTCTACACAGCTTTTGGGTTGCAGCGACTAGTTTCATAATCTATTCTGACCAAAATACCTGAAATCTTGTTTGAGAAAAACATTTTTATCTTCAGTAAGTTTGTGTTGTAAACCATAAAGTTAATTTCTCAAAATACTGACTAAATAGTTGTAAATTAATCCTATTCTTTAATTAAAATTCATTTATT